GCTGGAGGTAAAAATTTTTATTGTATTGTATTTCTTCTTGCAGCAGTGGCAGACAGTAGTGGCTTTACCACCAGCACTTTTTTTTTCTCTCTGCCCTCTTCTCGTCTGGTGGGCAGATTGATGGATGCTTTGTACAATTCTGTCCAATTTGGCTTTTTTTCCTGGCTGCAGGTGTACCATTTTCAGCTTCTGTCTGTACCCTGCATAATCTTAGACATCTAATTATAACTCACCGCTGACACCTCAGCAAGCAAGATTCACTCCATTAAAACTGTACAGAGCATCTGTTGTTCAGCTGGTATGAAAAATGTCAGTTTTTCCCAGTCTATTTATCAGCTGGGAAGCACCCACCATGCTCCTGTGAGTAATGACCTTATGGCGGATCTGCTTTTGCCCATCCCAGATAAACTGCCATTCCCCAAATATGATACAGGTACAGTTCTCCCAGTTTTGTTCATCCAAGTATAAAGGAAAATTTATTTAAAGCAATGCGTTGCACAAACAAGTTAGTCTTTGGTGACTGTTCTGAGCTGGCATTTTCAAGGTGGGGGAGAGACCAACTCTACCTGACCCTAACTGAGGTTTGATTAACTGCTGTTTTTCCTTGGCTGCCTGATTTCAGATTCAGTGACCTTTGTTTACTATCTAATCTGGTTTTTAATTCCTGATCAAATAGTGATTTATGTTTTTATGTGTTTTGCAAGTACATTTCCTCTTAATAGCAATCCCCTGTTTGACCATAGAGAGTAGCTTGTTTGATCAAGCGTTTCTGCATCTATAAACACTAGAAATAGTGTATTTGCTAGAACGATGTTCTGTGAGTCCTTCCGACAGCTCTGCAGAATAGCTTCAGACTGCAAAGCTGTGATTCCTGCTATCTAAATCTCTGCTTTTCACTTTAAGTGAAGACATCTCACTCTCCCCTGCCTCTCCCCATCAATTCCTTATGTATCTTTATTAATCTCCACACTGAAGATGCACAGAGCCTTCTGAGCTGTAGGGGCTTGGTCCCAGTGAAATCTATCAGATTATTTTTACCAATGAGTAAATGTGATCCTAAGCGGGCCCTCCATTTTCCAAGCCCAAGACTCACCATGCTCTGATAGCCACTCTCTGGCTACTGCCTTGCATATCTACCTGAAAACACCACCACAGAGCACGTGTACAAACTCCAGAGTACATCTGGGGGTCTTTACCAGAGACTGTCCATTAGGAACAGTCTGAGAAGCCATCATAAATAGCATGTATTTGCTGAGTTTTAGGAAATTGTTGTAGGCCCTTGGTGTCTACCTGCTAAAAATTTCTCGGTATGTGTAAACAACTGGAATGAAATCCCAGCAGACGAGGAGCATAGAGCATTTTGCCATACCTCAGCTCCAGTGTAAACCTGGCTCCATCCCGGCCGAGCAGCAGGCATGCAGTGTGCGGGCCCTTGAATTCGAATGTAAGCAAGAAACAACAACTAAAACCCTTACAGAGGAAGTTAAGGGGTTCACTGAGTTTTGAAATGAACAATTTTATAAAATTAGAGCAGACAATATTTTCTTAAATTGTAATTAAAAATTATACCACAAAAACACTGCAGTAATGAGCACTAGTCCCTCAGAGAACCACAGCAGTTCCCTGGAGAGGGGTTGAGATTAACAAACACATTTCACATGACAGCTTTTAATATAATTATTTGCATAACTGGATTAAAGAAGCGCACCAATGTGCCTCTAAATCTTATTATTGTTTATTACTCTGGATATCAGAGAAAACAGTAATTACATGGAGCAGAGATTCTTGGGGCTTGATTCAGAGGTAGGGCCAAGCAAACGTGGCTGTGACTTGGTCCCTGCCAGCCTGTGGGACCCCCAGCCCTCCTGCTCAGGGCCAGATCTCCTTTCTGCACTGTGCAGGAAAAACCTGGAAAAATGCCCTTGCAGGACAACTGAGGTGGGCCAAGGGGGTTGCTGAGGAGAGAGATGGATCTTTGGGAGAATTCATCTGCAAAATCCAGCCCTGAGAAGGGCCTGCAGCAAGGGGCAGGCTCTGGGCTTTCTGCTGTATAGTAAGATTCGAGGCATGTACAGGTTAAACCAGCACTTAAACAAGGATACCTGCCGTGCTGGGCACACCTGAGCACCTCCTTGAGATGTCAGACCTTGGCACTGCTGTAACTGCAGCTCCAGGGGCTGCTGGTAGCGAGATGTTCTCAGTGTGTCCGTCACTGTGGGAACAATGTACATGCTGAACAGCCCTTCATTTCTGCCTGAAGGGAGAAAAAAAAACCCTCACACACAAAACAAAAGAAAAAAAGGAGAAATCCCTGCTCTCGAGAGCTTCGTGTAGCTCTCTGCAGCAGCCATCTGAAGTCACTAACATTCAAGAGAACACTAATAATCCAAACTGCAGTGCTGGCAAATGAGGGTAAAATCATTATGTGTAAGAAAGAAATGATCCCAGGCCTGCTGTTGTTAACAAGTCTTCCCAATTTCTCTGCTGGGCTTTGGATCACTCTGAGTTACAGTGCTGTCTGTATGTAGTACATGAGGTTGTAAACATTACGGGCTATCTCAGTGATAATTAGCCTTCACAAACTGACAAATTAACAGCTTGAAGTAATAGAATTCCATAGAAGAAAAATTTTAAAAATCAGGATTTTCTTGTCCTTTAAAGCTGCTTTTTGCAATGTTGTTTCAGTGCTCTCTCTTCTCTTCAAAAGAGCCCTGAAACAAAAGAAGAAAAGCATATAAAATCTGGTGGGTTTGTTTGGAAAGGGCTTTTTGCCTTTTCAAAACCACTAGTTATTCCAGTAACTTGCTATACTGAAGGAAAAACAATTTCCTAAAATTCAGCAAAACAGGCTTTAATAGGTCATTCAAGCCTTTAAATCAAGGTAAGCAAAGCAGATACGCTTAATCACAGAGTGAATGCAAGTAATGCCTACTTTAAAAGGACCTCCTCGATTCAATGTCTCTGTAATCAACTTCTAAGATGCAGTTCCTCATTATTAGCGGCAGAACAGCTTGAAATTGTAAGGAAGTCTGTGAAAAGAGATTTCAGATGTTTTCCTGTCACTTTTTCCAGTGTGTGCATATGCATCTGTGTTTTATTAACAGATTCAGCTTACTGAATGCTGATGAGCAAAATGCTAGTCACAGTTTCACAGTAGGAGTACATTTACAAACTAGAGGAAACATCCTCTTTTTCTCCCCTCTTGTCTACTTGCATTGTCTTGCAGCCCACACGTTTCTGGCCACTTGCAGTTATGGTCAAAGAGATGTCCTTGTTGACCATGGTCAAAACTGCCCCTGGGTTGCACTGCTTTTCCAGCTGATGTCAGCTCAGTATCAGGCAGTTCCCCATCTCATCCCAGATTCTGGCTGAGCAGGCTCTTCAGAAAGAATGTCTGCTTTCAGAACTTTGTCTCATGTACTTGTCTATTATCTCAGTTATTTTAAATTCAGGGAGGAGGAAACTAGAAACCACTAGGTTGATTATACCTTCTACCTCCCTCATATGATTGAAAGGTAAATGTCAAAGGAAATGGTTTCTTCCAAAAAGACTCCTTCAAAAGAGAGTACTTGCCACTCCACTCCATTTGACAGGTCTTTCTGTCAATAGCTCCATGTCAACAGCACCTTCCACCCGCTGTCTCTTAACAGACACCTCCTGGAGTGCTCCTGAAGACTGTATCGAAGTCTCTGTCTCTGGAGATCAAAGCTGATGGCAGCATTGTCACACATCAAAATCAGTTCCTCGAAGAATGAGTGGAAAGCAGCTCGGCACTGACAAGGCTACGACGATGGCCACTCCTCGGCTGGGACTGTGGTAAGGTCAGCAAATTGGGGTTACATGAGACAAAGAGAAGAACATAATTCAATGTCAGTAAGTGGTGGTATGTCTTAATGTCCCCTTGTTTGGCTGATGGAAAATCATTCTTTTTTTCCAGTCTGTCCATTCTTGCTGACAGCATCAGCAACTCCACCAAATATGCTGTTGCACACTCTGCATCACAGTCACACCCCACAGCAAAAACACCATTCAGGTTTTATTTCCCCTCTCTCAGTGCCGCATCTCACCTTGCTATGTGCTGTGTTGCAGGCTCATGAGACTCAGGAGCTTTGGGATTGCATGACAACACTGGGTTCAAAAAGTGCAAAGTACAGATTCCTGCCCAGTGTGGTTGGCCATAGTGGGCAGGTGAGCATCCCTGCTGCAAAGGCTGCTGTTTCATCCGCTCAGCCAGCAGCAAGAATGAAACGGCAGTGAGGGAGGAAACCACGCAGGGCACACACAGCACACCCCACCACAGCCCACAGGCACACAAGCAAGTCAGTGACTTGCACGGAGGCACTTGGAGGGAGTGCAAGTGAGGTGATGGCATCGCCCTGCACACCACTCGCACCCTCAGGAGTGGGGAGACCCCTGAGCACTGCTGCTGCCCACACAACTCAGCTGGCAGAGGAAGGCTCCAAGCAGCTCCTACCAGCTTCGTTTCCTGCCCATGTCTGAGACAGCTGCTCAGGTAGGGCATTCAGAGAGCCTTAGGCTATTTTCAGCGTTGCCCTTACCCAAAAGGACTACAGGAATATTGTTAGTCCCCTCTACCTTTGACCCTATGATGACTGGACTCTGGGTAGACATGCAGATTTAATTTTTACCCAATCCAAAACACTTCCTCATTGAGGTATTTAGGTCTCATATTCATCCTTGCTCCTCCCTGTCCCCAAATTCCATATCTGTACTGCCAACAATATCCAAAACAGATAGGAAGGATCCCTGTAGCTTACATGAGGGTATCTTATTGTGCTAACATCTCCTTGGCCTCTAACTCCTGTCGAAGTAAAGACATTTTTGGGACAGGACATCTGCCTCTCCTTCTCCAGGAGGAGCGGAGGTGCTGGGGAAGCTATGCATGGGTCTTGTGTTATAATTGAGCCCTGAGGACAAATGTCAGGTATCGGGACTAATTAGAAGTGGAAAAGACTTACAGTGTTACTGTACGAAGGAAGTGCACTCCCACCAGCTCTCATTTACAGCACCACACTGGCCATAATGCAGTTTGTAGTGGGTCCAATTTTCTTCTTTCTCCATGCAAACATTTTCTTCAGCTCCCCCCTGAAGCTGTCATGGAGCCAGGCATAAAGGAAGGCATTGGTACAGGCAGACATCATTGCAAACCAGTGGCACAGCAGCTGGATGAAGTTGAAGTACTGCTTGTCAATCAAGCTGATGTCTATGTCCTTTATCATGTTGAAGATGTGCAGAGGCAGCCAACAGACTCCAAAGGCTGCCACCACCAAGACTAGCAAGCGAAAAGTCTTCCTCCTCCTTGCTCGGTCCCACTCCGCTTGGCCCTGGGTGACGTTGCCTGGGACGACACGGTTTTTCAGCTTGACTGAGATTCTCAGGTAGGACAGGGAGATGACAGCCAAAGGCAGTACGTAGGTGATGATGAGAGTGCTGTAGGCGTAAGCTAAGCGATCCCTTTTCTTGTGGAACCAAAACTCCTCGCAGATAGAGAAATCCAGTTCTGGGAACTCCGCGTGGTAAGTGTGGACCAAAGCCGGGGCAGCCAAGGTACAGCTCAGCAGCCAAATAGCAGCCAGGATATAAGCACAAATTGGGATTGTGAGCCTCCTGCGGAACGGGTACACCATGGCGTAGTACCTATCCACAGCTATGACGGTCAAGGTAAAGACAGACACAAACACAGTGACAGGTTGCATCAGGAAAACAAAGTAGCACATGAAACGGCCGTACACCCATCCTCTGGGCTCAAAGGCGTACGCCAGTGTCAGGGGCACGCAGGTTGCACACATGAGCATGTCTGAGAAAGCCAGATTGCCTACCAGAAAGTTGGTGACATTGTGCATTTTTTTTGTCTTGCAGATGACATAAATGAGAAGGTAATTCCCGATGACACCAATAAAAACTACCAGCGAGTAGCAGGGGATGATGAGTGGCTTGAAGGACTGAACAAACTGGAGCCCTGAGAATAAACTGCTGGCATTGCTATGAATCGCAGAGAGGAAGCTTTGGGAGGTTAAATTGTCTGAATTCATCATTTCCCTCCTTTTGTCGTCTGCCGTCAGCCGAGTGAAGTAGTTACCACTGCACTACTCCTGCACTCAATCAGTGTGGATAATGAATGGATTACCGGCTGTCCAGAGGTTACCACATGGATAGTAAACAAGCATCCGTAAAAGCAAAAGGTGAAGTTGTAATCCTCGAGAGGCAGCTTTCAGCAATTCCTAAGAAAAATCAAATGCAACCGATTTCCATTAAAGTCCTCCTGTATTTGCTATTAAATCTAGGTTTTGACAGCATGCCACTTAATAAACATTTAATGCAGTGAGTACTTACTGCTGTGGTTTTTTAATCCCATATGATTTTCCTGTGGATGCCAAGAAATGCCCTAGATGTCTGTCCTCCGCAAATCCAGGAGCGTGTGTGTCAGAGGGAGAGAGAATATATGAGTGAGAAAGAGGGTGATGCGCATTTACAAGCTAAGTGGAGATCAGTGTTTTTAAACAGTCTTCACTACTAGGTCATGACAGATTTGTGTATAAGCTTTTATCCCTATTGGCTGCCCTGGGTATTACGTTGCTCTTTGCGTATTCCTTACTGATAGTAATTAGTTCTTGAATATCCTTTCAAAAATTCCCTTCTCCTTCCAGTGCATCTATAATTGCCCCTCACAGCTAAAAATCAATTTACATTCATTAACACTAGCCTGAACAGTATCTAATCCAAGATTCACTTTGCCACAGTCCTCAGAGCATCCAAAAAATAGCTACCTGTGAACGTGCTGCTATAATGTGGCTGTAAAACAGAATTTTAGTAACATGCTGAAGCCAAATAAATGTTTATGCCACTAGAGGGACTCAGCTACGTGCCGGTGAATGAAGCTACGATCAGAAACGTGCATTTTACAGGTAGCACAAAGGATCTTCTTTCATTTAAATTTATTTTCTAATCGTCATATAATCTTTGCTCACCCTTGAGTATTTTCAGTGAGGTTTACACGGCTTTAAAAGTAAACACATTCGAGCATCTCAAAGGAAACATTAGCATCTGAATAGCTTAGCTGTAAGGGTTTACCTGCAGTGAACTACAGCAAACTGTTTCTAACATTACAGTTGGCCAAAAATATTTCGGGTATTTCATCATTCCTGCAGTAAGCTTGTTAACCTTTTTTGGATCAGACAACAAGTGCTAACCAGGCTGTAAAATAGTCTATACTTGGGTTTGGGGTGTTTTGTTTTTTTTTTTTTTGTTGGCGTGGTTTTTTTTTTTTTTTTTTTTTGTTCAGACATTAAAAAGCAAAAAATCAGGATAAGTGCTTAGAGAACATATATTTAAGCAGACATCCCATCCAGCTCTTATCTATTGCTCTAATTGTGCCTTAACTCTCCCCTATTTCAACTGCTTTTGGGACCAGGACCTCAGCTGGTGAAAAACAGTGAAACTCCACTGCATCCATTTATACCAGCTAGGGAAATAAAAAAAAAAAAAAAAAGGAACAACCTAACAACCTCTGAATACTTCAGAGCAGAGAACATTGCTAGGTTTTGCAAGGCACTCAGGGGATTTAGACACAACCTCAATGGACAGTTTATGTCCTAATCTCTTAGACTACTCAAAGGAAATATTAACCCATTGTTTTCTAGGAGGCTATGGGCAGACCCATGTCCATCTTTTGATTTGATGTAATTTGACACATACCAAAATTTTAAATAGATTTCATTTGTGTCATAATCCTTTCCCTAATCTTAAAGGGGAATCTAATCTTATGTGGCCCTTGTTCAGCCCAGAGCCGTTCTCCCACTACTCCTTATGATGAATGGGCATTTCAAAACCAATAAGCTCTGACTCTGTGCTGCTGCATTTATGGTTAGATTATCCTATGGGCTGGAATATGGCTATAATTCCAGCCCGAGGGGAGAATAAGCATGCAGCCACATTGCTCAGGAGTACCATCCTTCATTTCATGGATGTAGTAACCTACTCATGACCCATCAAAAAATGGGATGTTATATCCCACTTCGGAGTCCAATCTCACCTATCTGAGCTGGATGGGACCCAGAGGAATATAGTACTTATTTATTGCTACATACCCAAATCCAGAATAAGAGAGGGGCCTGAGGGCAGAGGTTGCAAAGACACAATGAAAAAGGGGATTGCTGCTGCTTTCACCACCCCCTGCAATTGTACTATTTGGTCATAAACAGCATGCTGTAAAAATAATTCCCAAAACTCATAAATGCAATTGTTTCACTTAACGTGAGATAAAAATATGCTCTGATTTAAATCCTACACTAGTAGGATTTCAGTAGGCTTTGGATGTGGTCTCTAGTGTGAGCCAAAATACATAGAAAAATGAACAGAGAGCATATGTATACTGCCCATATCCTACTGGAATTGCAACGTTTATGGTTGGAAGGAAGCTTCACAGTAATAATAGCATACACATAACAACTGAAAATCACATTTTTAACTAAGTGATTTCTCTGTTTCATTCCCCAGAGCCTTAGAGTAGATCCAATACATATTTTCAATGTATTCCTATGAGAAAAAGGTTTATAATATGCGAGAATAAAAAGCAAAAAAAATATCATCTAAAATAGCCTTCAAGGGCACCTTAATGCTCAGGTCACAAAAACCTGTAAGTAACCTTAAAGATTCTTTTATTTCAAGCTGTACAAAGCAATCTTCCTGCATTTTCTCTTACCTTTAAATGTATTTTCGTCACCTCTGAAACCAGTACACATTCTGTTTGAAGGCTCCCACCCTATTTCTGTTAGTGATTTTCTGTTTGTTTTGGCTTCAGGCAGAAAATTTTTTCAGTTCAGCTGTGCTCTACAGTCAAGACCTGGAAAGATAATATTAAATAGGGGCTTGAATAGAAAAAACATTTCAGCATTTTGCCCCAAAGAAATCCCCTTTCTTCCTTTTAAAATTGCAGATATTAATCTTGTTTAGAATTTCTTAGGCTAGATGACACAGTCTTTCCTGAACTGCTTATAAGTGTATTTCACACACAAAATTTTCTCATTAAAAGAGAAAAGGTCACAGAAACTGCATTACTGTCATATTAGAACTGTTTTGACATTCCAAGCGTATAAGGGCATCACACACAGAAATGCCGATTAGTGTCTAATTGAAACCCTCGTCTTCCCTGAGCCAATGGAAAATGTCACATCTACAGCCAAACCAAGACTTCACAGAAACATTTCACAGCTGAGTTTTCACCATCTCTTATGCTAACCTGTCCAACTCGCCACAGACACTTAGAGTACAAACACTGTAAGCTGCTATGTGACTTTCAGAAAGTGGTAAACATCTTAAAGCACTAACACTGATCCTTGTGTGCATGTCTCATTATCCCTGTAGTCTCTAACTAAAGCAGCATGATCCAGGAATGAGAGCTGATCCTAGCAGCTACACTTGCAAAGCAAGACAGTACTTCTTAAGCTAGTAGGCTCTCTCTTCTATTATTTAGGTTTTACAGACAAAAAAAACCCCAAAAGCTTTCTGTCATTAAAGTTTCATAGTTTCAGTTGTTTTCTATATTCATGTTTATTCAATATGTGCCTTTTTCTGTAAAACAATTCTTTTGCATCACAGGAGTCTTTTAAAGTTATTCACATTCTTCCAGGAATGTTCTGTGTAGAGCAGACCAGGTAGTTCTTGCACAGCCTACAATAAAAATAGACTCTTTGCCTATTTTGAATGAAGTAGACCTGGGGTTTCCTTTAACCAATTCTTCTTATGACCAGCCAGGGAACAAGGTTGTGTATCACACAACATTTTCAAGACAGGGCAACCTGTCCTCCTTCTTTCATTTAATCTTATAAATACATCCTGCCTGTCCCTGCTGTGGGCTGAGACATCACATATCTAAACTCTAAAAATCATGTTTACAACTAAGAATTTTGCTTGGTTGACTTGGAGTTTTTTGGTGGTTGTTGTTGCTGCTTTTTCTCAAATTTAAGGTACCAAACTTTGATATACTCAGGATTCCACTTAAAATTATTTACTTCTGCTAAAGAAGAGCTTAACAGCTTGAATTTAAGTCAAAATATGCTTGAGGTTGCATGCTAAATATAGAATAGAGGCTCTACTCTTCCTGTATGACAGAATTCTTAGTCCATTGGGCAAAGTGAGCTGGTTCCTTAGATGACAAAGATCTTGTGCTAAAATAAATATAACAGTGTAAAAACTGAGTAAAAATACAAGTGTTTTCCTGGGAATGAAGGAATGAAAGTGCTGGATCACAATTACCACAGCAAGGTATAAGCCAAATGCAGAAGTGAATAAACTCATACTGTCGGGAGCTGGCTAATCCCCATGGCCAGGTTGTGCAAGAACTGGCACATGGAGCTGCTGGGGGAGAAGTAAGGGCTTTTCCTATCTTTATGGCCTGTGACTGAAGAAAAACAAGTGGGCCACCTGTCCTTAAGAATAAGAAGGGATGGGATCTGAGCAGAAAGTGCAAGCCCTTTAGTTTGACAGCAGTGTTACAGAAGGTTTTAGACCAGGTTTAAGGACACAAGAAAGAGAGAGAGGGAAAGGAGACAGAACAGGATACCAAAGGAAGCTTTTGTCAAATTAACCTTCCATCTATGTGTTATTAAAGATAGGATATGTCGTAATTCTTCTCAGTTTTGGTTTGCATAACCCATGTGATGTGGTAGCATATGAGAAACCATCATCTATACAGGAGGCAGAGTCCTAAGAACTGTGGGGTAGGAAAAAAACCAGCAATATTTATGAAGAAATTGGACAATAAGACAGAACCTATTCATGTTTCTTCAAGAACCTTGTTTGGGATTGTCCAGTAGCTCTTTTCATTTCATTATGTTAGCACAAAAACCAGGACCACACTGACTGGATTTGATAGAACCACCAAGTTTGGAACCATAGACAACGTGAAGGATGACTGCACAATTACACACAGAAACTTTGAAAACTTCAAGGAGAATGGGAGGAAGTTTGATACCATTACAGAGGAAAAACTTTTCATAAAATACAGGATTAAGATCACCTGATAATAAGCATTTTCACTATGGCTCAGGATGGAGTAAACTGT